TCTCCGCTTGCGGTCCTCGCGCGTCATCTCGCTGCTGCCCATCAAGTCGCCTGTGCGGCCGTTGCGGCCCTTGTCCTTCTCGTACACCTCCTCAGGCGCAAGCTGCTGCGCAGTCGACACAGTAGTTGGCAGCTTCTCCTCCATCTCGAGTGCTGGCGCGCTTGACCGGATCTCGATCTCGGCCGACGCTGGCTTCGGCGCAAAGTGGAAGTGGCTCATGGCGTCGAGCTGCACAAACAGATTGCGGAACAGCTCGTCGACCTCCTTGTGCGCGGCCAGTACCTTGGCATCGTTCTCGGGGACATAGGCATCACCGGCCTTTTGCGCCATAAACGCGTCCTCGTACTCCTCGGCCAGCGACTTTTGCGGCGCCTTGTCGTTGAGCTCAAACTGTTCCGACGGCCGGAACGGCTTTTGCTGGATATCCTTCTTGCGCTCGACGTCGTCCCACTCCTCGCTGAGGATGCGCCGCTTAATGATGTCCTCAAGCGACTGCGTCGCCTCCTGGGTAATAACCGGGACTGCCTTCTGCACATGGTCAAAGTCAACGTCCTCCTCCAGCAGACTGTTCTTGGGACGCGCGCTTGAATCGACCTCACCGGTCATGGTCCAGTGCTTCTTCTCCACTGCCTCGTCCTCGAGCTTGGCGATCAGACCCTGGAGCTTCTCTTGCCGCTTCTCAAACTCGGATTTGCCTTCGCTGTCCTCTCCAGTCCCCTCATCGTTGTCGCTCATGTCATCGAATAGGTTGGTTGTGCGTCCAACCTCGCCCTCGTCCTCTTCCTCTTCCTTGTCCTCCTCCTCGTCCGACTTGTCCTGATCGCGGATCTCAACCGATGGGTCAAACTTCACGCGCTTGGCATGCTTCTCACGCGATGCCTTGGCCGCAGCACGCTTTGATCCCTTCGGCGCCTTGAAGAAGTCGCCGTACATCATTGAGTCGGGGTTCTCCTCGTCTTCACCCTCCTCGTCATCATCGGCATCCGAAAAATCCTGGAATAGGTCAATGTTATCCTCGTCCTCCTCGCTCTCGTCAGACTCTTCACCGTTCTCTTCCTCGGCAGTGGGCTTTGGGTAGTCGCCTGCTAGGATCGCTCGGTCGCGCATGTCCTCTTCTTCAGCATCGTCGGCAAACTTTTCCATTTCAGCAAGCGAGAAAAACTCGTCATCGATTATTGACGGCTCCGCCCCTTCGCCCTCTGATTCCGACTCGATATCGTCGCCATCCTCTGAGGCACTCTGCTCCACGGCAGATTCACCCTCCTCCTCCCCATCGTCTCCAGATACTGCCGCCATCTCTTCGTCGCTGGACTGCATATCAGCCGCATCGCTATCTTCCAAGTCAGATGCACTCATGTCCTGATCCTCCATATCCTCATCGCTGGCCAATTCTGATTCCGAATCAGAACCCGAGATTGCCGCAGAGTCCAGGAGAAGCGACAGCTCCTTCATGGTATCGGCAGTGTGCTTCAAGACCGGCTCGTTGCGGAAGCTGATCAGCTCCCATAGCTGCAGGCTCGGATCGAACCCGCTCTCGGTCACCGACTTCCAGTCGTCGTAGAGGCCAAACTTGTCTGCAATATTTGCCGCATCGTAGGTGCGTCCAACAACCTCCATCGCCGCTGTGCGCGCTTCGTCAGTCGGAACCACAAAGGCGCCTGGGCGACGCACAAAGGCATCCAGGAAGGACTCTGGGATCGTGCTGTCAAACTCGCCCTTGCCCATGGTCATGTATGTAAAGCGCGGGTTTTTGCGTGTGTCAAATTAAGCGTGCCTAAATGGAGGAGAAAAAAAGACGCAGGCAAAATAATAGGTAGGCAGCTTTGGCAAGACACGGATCCGGCCTGCCTGAAAAAAAAAGCCCATGAAAGGTGAAAATATTGCTGATCCGCCGATGAGTGCGTGATCTAGATATAAAAAAAAGTCTGCACGCTTGCCAGGTCCACCCTTTAGCCGGCGCCTGAAGAAAAATTTGGAGCCGGGCTATGCACCTTCAGACAGACACAGAGCACAGCAGCCTTTTTGACTCCCTGTATTTTCCGCTTTCGTTTATTGAGGAGCAAGCAATTAGAGCCAAGGGAAGGGGCCCTGCGTTCACATTTTAAACCACCACAACCAAAAAGCACTACACCCAAAAACAGCATATAATGTCAAAACGCCAGGTCTCCAGCATAACATCGGACGAGCGGTCCAAGGTGTCGGCTGTCGCAGGTGCAGATCAGGCAAACCAGCCCATGCGGGCAACCGATATGGAGGTGGACCAGGATGCGGACATGGGCGAGTTCGAGGATGCCTTTGAGGACGAGATCGAGGAGGAGGATGTAGTCGAGCGTGCCGAGGACTCGGACGGGGTGGAGATGATGGAGGACGAAGAAGATGAGGAGGAGTCCGAAGACGAGGCCACTGCCGAGCAGCGGCGCCAGGTGTATCTGCCCGGCGATGCCCTGGCTGAGGGCGAGGAGCTGCAGGTCGACAACTCTGCCTACCACATGCTGCACAACATGACTGTCCAGTGGCCCTGCCTCTCGTTTGACTTTGTGCCCGATGCCATGGGCGCCAGCCGCTCGGCGTTCCCGCACACAATGTACGCTGTGGCGGGCACGCAGGCGGACAACCACTACAAGAACCAGGTTCTGTTTATGAAGTGGACCCAGCTTCACCGCACTATCAACGACGACAAGGACAGCGATGAGCAGCTTGACGACGACATCAACGATCTTGACGAGGATCCGATTCTCGAGACCAGGACCATGCGGCACATGGGCGGCGTCAACCGCGTGCGCGTGCTGCAGGACTACAACTCGATGGCGGCTGCTACCTGGGCTGACACGGGTAAGGTGCACATCTGGGACATCAAGAAGATCATGAACGCGTTTGAGAACCCGGGATCGCAGGTGCCCACATCGGCGCAGACGCCGCTGTTCACGGTTGCCTCGCACGGCCGCACCGAAGGCTACGCGATGGACTGGAATCCCGATGGCAGACTGATCACGGGCGACTGTGCTGGAAAGATCTACCTGACGACGCGGCGTAACAACACGGGCGCCAGCTTTGTTGCCGAGAACACGCCGTTCCGCCGGCCACCAGGGCTCAGTCCGAGGATCTGCAGTGGAGCCCCGAGGAGTCGTCAGTGTTTGCATCCTGCTCCGTCGACCAGACAATCAAGATTTGGGACGTGCGCGCCAAGACCCGTGGCCATGCCCTCGAGGTTCCTAACGCCCACGACTCGGACGTCAATGTGATCAGCTGGAACCGCAAATCGCGGTACCTAATGGCTAGTGGCGGCGACAATGGCGATTTCAAGGTCTGGGACATGCGCAAGTGGACCGATGCCAGCGGCCGTTCCTCGCCCGCGGCCCAGTTCCATTGGCACAAGAAGGCCGTCACCTCGATCGAGTGGTGCCCGACCGAGGAGTCGGTGCTGGCAGTCTCGGGTGCTGACGACCAGATCACGCTGTGGGATCTTGCTGTCGAGCTGGATGCTGAGGAGGAGGCCCGTCATCGGGCGGCTATGGTCGGCCCCAACGGCTCCCGGCGCGAGGTGCCGCCGCAGCTGCTGTTCATTCACCAGGGCCAGCGCGATATCAAGGAGCTTCACTGGCATCCTCAGATCCCAGGTGCTTTGTCGTCGACGGCTCTGACCGGCTTCAACATCTTCAAGACCATCTCTGTTTAAATGTTCGATCGTTTCTGCTTTTACACTACAAAAAACATCAAACCACATCTGGCACTACCTTTGTGAGAGTTGAAAACCCCATGTCGATAGAGCAGGCTTGTTGGATACATATCGCTCTATGTAGCAAAGGGTATCGAGCTTTTGCATCATTAGCACATTCCTAGGCATCCGCTAGTGATAACGATTGCCCAGTCTCTTGTCTAGATGTTTATCTTTTTCTGCTCTCTGCACAGCTTCTTTGAATCGTACTCTACACTATTCCCTGTGTAACCCAGACCCGCTTTGCCTGCATATCCGAAATATGAATAACTTTAACCACTGTGCACTAGTTTGTGCTAAAATAGGACCTAGCCACCTTGCTCTTTACATTACTAAAACAGTAGCAGGAATATATTTTGTCTCTCTTGGCACTAATGTGCGCTATGTCATGATTAGCAATTGCTTTTGCACATTAGGCTAGCTGGCATCTGTAAACTGAAGGTTGATTGTGGAATCATCCACCATTAGGCTTACAGGATCTCAGGTCTGTGTATTGCCACAGCTCGAATTTGATCAAGGAGCAGATATCGCTTTGATGCTGGTCAATTGTATTCGATGCCACCAATGGATTGCATGGAATGGATTGAAGTAAACTGGCACGTAGAGCAAAGTAAAAGGAATTGAAGTAGATAATGTACTGACGAAAACTAGTACTATATGCGTGAGGAAATGACAGGTGGAAATCCCGGTCAAAGAAACAAAAAAGAACAGAGAAGATTTTGAGTGGTTTGACGAGTTATGTATCAAAAAAGTGTACCGGGACTGACACATTCCCAGTTGGTTGTAGTATTGGACCAACTCACCTTGCACTCCGAATGGTAACCAAGCTATCTGCTATTATTCAACAAATACCGCAATGACTATGACTGCTTTGACACTGCCAGAAGGCGACTGGAGCGGAATACAGCAGGTACACGACACACTCGGCTAATCATCTTTGCTCCTCCGCATTTTCTTCTCTGCTGGCTTCTATTTGAACTAGTCGAGTAACTATGCTCATTGATCCCTGTCTCTGCACTAAGTTACTAAAACTCTGGTAATATGTATTCAATTGTTTTTGGTAGGTACATTTCAGAGTATTCCAACCTAGACTTGCTGCATCCAGCGTCAGCCGTGTATACAGCACCACGGATGAAGATTGATTTTTACCCTGAATGCACGTTAGATTTAGCTGGTAGATAAAACTACCAGGTAGTTTGTAGTCTACCAGCACTTGACCAACTATATAATTCGTAAGCCAGTACAGCGACCATGAGACTGTGCATCAAGGTGACATGTAGATTGCCAGCGACTAAGTGGATAGAACAACCAGATACCACATATGCAACATGCTATGAGAAATATTTGCCTGTGATGTTGTGTACAAAGCTGGCGCTGTATATAACAAATATACTCATAAAGTACTCTCAGGAGCTATACCTTCAGATACAATTTGTTGTATATGCTTTCTGTGGCGCCAACCACATGCTTGCCATTAGACACACCCCTTTTCCTTCCCATTCAGTGGATCAGTTTGGCTCCCAGCGGGTACTTCTCTTTCTGTGCACCGCTGCTCATTTCCACACCCGCAGCGCCTTGCATTGCATCCGTCCGCATTTGCCCACGCTTTACATTTATGACCCACACACACAAGGCCCCTCCTGTGCTATCATCTTTTCGTCACCCATCCATTCAGCCCTGCATATTTCGGCTCTCCCAAACCCCGTCCTTCCGATTATTAATGCTAGCTGTCGTGCGCTTGCGATGCAAGCTTGCCTCAGTGAGAGCCAGTTGCTGCTGGGCAGGCATGGGGCTGAGCCAATCCACCGAGCAGGAGGAACTGGTGGTGCATCTAATTACGAGCATGTAGTTCACAACATAGATTCAATGTAAGGGAACTGCAAAACGGCCAAGCAGTCTTTTACGATAAGTGGACATTCGACTTATTTGCTTGAAATGTGTAGGCAAGTATGTCACATTATCACTTAGAACAGGTTTATCCCGATGCCGACGTGAAGTCCCTTGACATACTTGTAGTCACTGCCTCCAGGCTGGCCAATGGCCTCCTCAAATCCTTCCGCAATTCTCTGAGCATCGGCTTCGTCAAGGGTCGACATTGATGCTCGTTTGAGTGAAGGAATCAGGCGGCGGAACCATAGGAAGTAGCGACCAAAGTGGTGTAGGCTGTCAGGGTGGGTGTCCTGTACATACATTTGAAGCTTGTGTATGCGGGAGCGTGTGAGGGCTTGTGTCTCAAAGTTGAAATCAGGAGCTTCAGGTTCAGGCACCAGTGTGAATGTGGCAGAGCGCAAGCCCGGACAGCGTTCAGCCAGCTGTAATAGTTCAGTTGGAGCGAGACGCAGCTCAGGGCAGTCACAGCGCTGAAGATGGCTGAGATTGTTGGTCTTGGTTAGAATATGCGATGCATTGAGCGGGCTTTCAGGGAACCTGATGTGCGTGGCTTTCGGAGCCATTTGAAGCACACGCTGGAATAGCTGACCTGTCTCGTGTGGATCCTGCATCGAGCGTAGCGAACAGGAGACTGAGACATTGATGCTGCGCAGGAACGGGTATCCAGTAGTCTGGTCGATTGTGCGCTTCGTCAGACATGTATATAGTTCGGCACC